TTCATTGATCGCACAAAAAACCGGGGCCGATCTGAACTTGGTACCTCATCTTTGTTTACGCAGGCGGGTTGCCCGACCTATTGCTCTCCGTACCATCGAAAGTTAATCCACAGTATCTACTAGGGAGTAGTAAAAGGTTTTGCATGTCTTTACGAAGGTTCAGTGCGGTCAGGCTAAAAGTCAGGCTGCCACGACACGTTCGAAAAGCGCACCAAACAACCATTTCCTTCTATGGGGACTCATCATTAGTGCGCCTCCTTCACCAACTTGCGCCACTGATCTGTGGGTGACTGCACGGGGCCAACATCACTACTACATCCATTATTGAACAGCTTATCTTGCATTGTCATGTATGTTACGGAAGTACACAGAGCGGAATGCTTGGCCCCCGTAGCTACTAATTCCCTAGCGAGCCAACACCTGTCGAGGTAATACATGATCCACCCATTCGATTACTAATTGCTTGCGAGGTAGTTACCACGCATTCAACAAGCGCCAGTCGGTCGTTTTGTCTTGTTGCGATTCGTCAGTAACTCGCATCCGCCAGGTCCTGCCGGATCTGAACCCATGATCTTACACTTACGCATCACTGTGGTAACGGATCATGTACCATGTCGGAATTTGGAATCACGTTCTACATTTGACCTGATTGTGCTCAGGTCGCTTTGCTCTGGACTTCTTTAGGATATACACATTGGGACCTGGAACCGAACCACGAGTCATGCTCTTTGCTCACATTTGAGCAAGATGACACAAATGTTCTCACTGGTGTTCCTATCGTCTCTCTTTCGTGTACAAATGTTATCTTCACGTTGTGCGCCTTTCATTCACTTCAGTTACAACATTTGTTGTTGAGGATGGGCAACGAATGCCATAGGCGGCCGTTCACTTTCTAAACTGTCTCACTTGTCCAGGCAAAGCATTTAAACCGTTCCAGTTCACTGACCTCTGCTCACCTCACTCTCTGTGACATACTAACCCTCGAGTCGTAGTATTGATCTCCTCTTGTTGATAAGTTGGAAGTGAGTGGCCGAGTGTTTCCTCCAACAGGTTTCTCCTCTACGAGATCCGTGTGCATTGCAGTGAAAAACATCTTGTGCCACGCGCCCACCTTCATTGCTTACCTTTTCTTAATTGAAAAATCGCGATGTCTACTGAAATTTGGGATTCGGCATCGCATTACTGACGACAGAGAAAGTGAAATAACCTGCTTGATTGCTTGGGCACTTTATGAGTTCCTCATATCACCCTATTCATTCACTGGAAAAGTATGCTTCCTTCTGATCTTCCACAATTGATGTTGATAAAGTAAAAATGACTGTTTTGGAGGCTTGCAACTTGTTTGAGGTTGGCTGCAGTTGTATGCATCCAAAGAAAACCGAGCATCAAAAACTTCTACCCAACCATTTTTCCACTTTGGCATAAAGATCGGCGGGCCGATTCCCTCACCTTCGACTCACCACAGATATGCGCATTCGATACGAAACACATCGGTTAAACCAGGTCGGACACCTCGCGTTGGGCTTGCATTACAAACGCCAGATGAAGAGACCAAGCGTGCCGAGGAATCTCAAACAGCGGTCCGAAAAATGCATGCGTCCGACAGGGCAATATAGAATACCATTACTTCTGATTGTATCACATCCCCTCTCAATGTCGCCCCTGAACAGGCGAAGTGTGCTAGCCAAGGGATTAGTGACCCCATGAAATCAACTTCCTTGCATACTAGGACTAAGGAGGACTTCATGCCAATGGAACCACTGGTTGGTATGAGCTCGATGACCATCCCAGAAATCGGACGCAATGGTCAGAGCACGTCCCAAGGTATGCAATCTAATGTTGGAAACGTACTGTCATCCCCTGGCTGCAGTGCGTACTGCAGCTACACGGCTACGAAGAACATTGATACTTAATGCCCTTCATCAACAGCCCTCTTATGGATGCGGTACGACACGATACCCCAGTCGATAAGGACCAGGAGCAACTGTCACTTCACTGAACCCAGTTCTAGCCTTCCATCCTACTACAAACAGCAGTAACGCAAGAATAACTGAACGAAATTTGACCGATGGACAACACACTTCATCCAGCATCTGCGTGAATGTGAAAGTGAATTCACAGTCATTCCCATACCTGACGCAACCAAAACTGGTCACCTCAACTGTTTCTCTTGCATTTTGTCCCGGGAGACGGCTTAATACTTTAACTCTCTCCGTGCCACCAGACTTGTCGGCGCTCACAGTCAACACTATCTCCCTACACCAGTTCTAGTGGTTGACTTGGGCCCGTCTCCCTCGAATGGACTTCTCTATGTCCACCATGCTCTATTCTCAAAACTGATCCTCATGAGGCACACAACGAAATCCCCCATGTTCAGCATTTTAGCAGTTCTGTTTAGCGCTAGTCCCCTAAACAGCAAGCTACACTTTCTAGGCATTTCAGCGAATCGCAGTTAATTCTCGCCACAGAAATGTGGTACTCCTTTCATGCGATACACTTAACTATACTGATTGCAAGTGCTGTTTCTTTCGTAGATGACACTGTGCAGCAACAAGGTTGGCATGTATAGAACCATTCTTCTAGATCACCCACAACCCAAATATGTCGCAGAACCTATTTGGCTGTGAGCTAGGTGGCGTTCACACCAATACTGCTCGACTACATCTACAACCGCCCGAATGTTGAGCATCGCTACACTCAGTTCTGCACCTGAATTTCCACATAAACAGAATCTCATTGCCGGTAACTTCAAATTTCCCAACTATTAGGGTGGGAGGCTGGATACCACTGTTAGTCATCAGACCAACTTGATCTCTCAGTGTACTCGATTTGTTCTTCACAATACTGATCCCCTCGAGGTCTTTGGCACCCAATTGGCTGCCAAACTCGTTTCTCCACTGTGCAGCCCGCAAACCTGACTGGGAATACTTCCAGCCGGAATGCACTTTTCTTTTTACCGATGCCCTCATTGCAGTAACTCAGTTCTATCGTCAAATGCTTTGTACTAAAGCTCTTCACGATCACTAAGAGACACGTGTCGCTCATCTATCAAAAGATGCAACCGGGGCCACTTAATCAGTTAGAAAACCCAATGAGCTTGTGGAATACTGGATGACCAGCGATCTTTTGACAATTTTATCCAGGGCATGAAATCCGCTGAACCCTGTTTCTAACTGGATTCGGACGATATTCACCACAAAACTAGGGGGAATCTGACATGTCACTACTTACACTGGACACTTCATCTTATCACCAGAATATGCCCACTTCCCATCTCAATGAAAGATCCGGTTTATCATTCCTTATTTTAAGGTTATACCAATCTACCACACTCCCATGGCCGCTAAGTTATTTAAACGTTTGTTAGAAGAGCGTGGTGAACTTTGGTCTGATAACTATATCTCGACATGCTTTCGTTGGTAAACGACCTGGCACAGTCTGTTGGTTGCATTGTCTGAGTTAGATTTGTCGGTTCCGGTTGTGCAGTTATGCATGTAGCTTTGGACATGCAGGGATCAACCGATTTCTGGCACTTCAAAAGTGGTCATTGGAAAGATGGCGTCCTTCTTCGTTCTGGATCCACTATTAGATTGGCCACTATCATATCTTCGTGGTCAGTTCTATACAGGGACTTCACATAGCCACTGCTCGTCAATAGGAAATGTGCCTCTTTGCTGTCGCTGATTCGTGTCACCGTCGTCAGTATACACATTTTAACACGGCTGGTCATTTTTACCCGCCAACGATCACACGATTCCCTGAATGCTCCGAGGTGATAAATTTCAGGACACACTGTTGCTCATTTAAGACATTTGAGACCTAGTACGATCCTTGGTAGATGGAACTCTCAGTTAACTACTCAGGCATCATGTCTTACGGTTGTTCGATCCCTGGAAAGTCCATTTAACTCAGTACTATGCAACTATTTAGTTATAATTTCGAAATCAGATACCTCACCTTTTCTGAACAAGCTAATATATCCAGCAAAATACATGCATTCCTTTTCGTGTTGAACATCTTCAAACCACCACTTCCCCTCCCCTCGAATACTTTGTAGCATAACGCCCCAGATGACCTACAGAGGTCGTTCACCAAATTTCCGTTTGACAATTCTTCTACCTACTGCTTCGAGCCGCTTTGACGGCAACGGTTGTAGCACAGCTCCGATGCACCTTAGTACTAATTGCGATTTATATGTGTGCTGGAATCACAGCATGGTTCTGCTCGAAGACCTGACAAAAGTGGTTTCATACATCTTGTACCAAAGCTCAGCATGCGCTCCCATTTCTTCCTACTCAAACTGTGTTGTCCTATGCATTGGGCTACCAATCCCAGTTCAGTCGTGAGAGAGTGCGGCAACATTTCACACTAAACTCAAAGTTACATTGATCTGTACACCAGTATGATCGTGTTTACCTCGGGCAGGTCGGTTTATGAAGGAATTCCAGTAGACTGTTTAGCGAATTGATGCGGTAAGTATTCACACGAGGTCAACACCTTTTACGGTTCGGCTGAGAGCACCTGCAGAGGGCTAGCACTCTCCACAGATTCTCAGAAGCGACGATTTTTGTCTGAAGCACTCTTTGCTTGATAAAACTTAAGCACGGTCCATGGAATAACGTACTCATTCCAAAGCCTGTTCCTTTTAGTCTCTGCGTGCTTCGGAACAGTTGGCAGCCAGCGCCTCGCCATGAGCCTCCCACCACACAGGCGCTTTGAACCTGCCGAACCTACTGTACTAGACACACATCTCCCACTTCGAGTCCCCTTGTCTCACAGCCTTTTGTTAAGCCGTGGTCCAGTGAGTCTTAGGCTGTGCCAGAAATATGTGGAAACGAACGTATTCTCACCTTTGTATGTTCATGCAATTGATTTTTGTCATTTGTGAGCCTGGTTTCCCGCATTCTTTAACATCATACGTATTTTAGTATCATTGCTAGTCTCGTCCTTACTAATAGCCCATCTTTCTAACCTTATCACTCTCTCTCTACACATCACAGTACTTCAAAACGCGGTTTCGCATGACCTCCATCCCACCGGACCATCAGAGCAACGCAGTGCAAGTGTGGAGTCATATGATGAACCATTTTCACATGCACGCGCAACAAATTGTGCAATTTGCCAAGCTTGTCCCAGGTGAGTGCTGCTGTTGTTGTTTTGTCTTGACTTAGAAACCATGCAGGGTGCAATGTTTCTCCCTCGCTTGTTCCACTATAGTTTCTTCTCCTGATGCTCCCCCTACCGACACGCTGCGTTGGCACACACACACACACGGCCAAGCCCATCAATCCATTGTTTGGCTCTCTCTGTTTAGCGAATGTCTTGTAAGCATCACACTTCCATGGCTTACTGTTTTTTGTTTGAATTTGCTTTGCACTGCAGCTTTTTATGGTTCCGCGAAAGGACTTTCCTCTGCCTATTGGAATTAATTTCACTTTCCATCTCAGCTAGACTATTTCCAAATTCTACGTTTCTATAGCTCGGTGCCTTCTGGAGGTTATCTATTAGCTTGTTGATCAAGTTATTGCGGTTTTCGATATTTTAATTTTAACGGTTTATTTTTGAATAAATTTTTTAACAAGTTGCATTAATCCTGTATATCATTTTGAAACGCGTTTATGGCTCCATCTATCAGTAGTGATAGTTTCGCCAGAGAAATCATAGATAGAAGACAAATTTGCACAATTGTCTTGCTCCAATTCAAACGACCGAAATGGGGCGGAAACTGATCATGACATAGGCAGTACATTTGATCTTGGAACCGCTAACTGCCACACTATACACAAAAGAAATTTGAAAAGTATACGTAAAGTTTGAAGATTAAGAGTATTGTGAACAGCCATCGGAAGTGAGCAACGGTCAATTAAAGGCCTTAGTTAGAGGGGGTCCCCATAAAACTGTCCGGGATCTTGCTTCTGACACCGCGCGTACGGGAAGTTGAAATATCAAAAGAAGCTTGATAATCGTGTGCCGCATGATATGAATAAAACCCGAAGAAATCCTCATTTTGAGGTGTCACCTGCTCTTGTTCTGCGCATTACAAAACCACGTTTCTCGATCTGAATGTGACATGCGAATAAAAATGCATCCTACACGACAATCGGCGACGCTTTGCCCGGTGGTCAGATTACGATCAACCTCCACAACGATTCCCATAGCAGAAATAGCACCCAAGTCTTATGATGACTGTTTGATGATCTGTGGCTGCTCTGATCCTTCTCAACCCTCTGTGTCCAAGCAGTATTGTCAACAAGTTGCCGAACTACACCGAAAACTTCAGCACCCAGTGGTCAACAGAAAGGGGCAAATTCTTTACCACCTAACACTCAGCACATGCCACACAACCAACACTGTGGAGGCTAAACGAGCTAGGCTACGAAACTTTACCTCACCTATCATACTCCCCCAACCTTTCATTTACTGATTAACGATTTTTAAGGCACCTGGATAACTTCGTCCGAGAGAAATGTTTAAAAACCCAAGGACATGCTGAAACCGCATTCCACTAGTCCATCGCCACCAGAACTACGGAATTTTGTTCATCCGGGATAAATAACATTTTAGCGTTGTTAAAGATATGTTAATCCGAACAGATATTTTCGATTAAAAATATTACGTTTAGGCCACGATATGGGCATTCATATTCTAAGGTCAAAAACTGCAACAACTTTATTGACAACTTAGTAACAATGGGAAACCGAAGTCCCGTCCATTTCCTACTTTCTGTGTATGCTGCTTATCGAGTGTGTGGGATCTTTGAATCTCCTGACTGGCGGTTGCGGGTGGTCGCCATATACTCATGGTGCTTGCTATCGAAGCGTGAACGACCATCCTCAGGTTGATGGCCGTCTTCACCACTGTACCGGACTGATCAAATGGCTGCTTGGGGGGGGGGGGGACGAGAACTGTTGCCCAACCAGCCCCCTCCTCCAACTGGATGACCCGAGTTGTCAACCTTATCAGCTCACCTTACCAATGGGGAAGTGTTGCATTGCGAGATATCATGTGTTGTGACGACACGCCATGTTGACTGTGGGGGGATATTCTGTGGCGCAGTAGTGTATGGAGTCGCAGTGCTGCTTCATTCCGCAGCTCGACTTGTCATGTTTTCCATGTTTCCTTAGCATGGGGACACACTGTACAGATCTCGTGCCACTTTGCTTATACTCTGTCTGTTGAACACGAAGTCGGAACCTCTGGATGCCCGTGTTGCCACCTATTCGCTGTGATGTGGTTGGCTTACCGGTGCTCCTATTCTCTTCTTTAATATTCCCTAACGAGAGAAGACATTCGCATTCCACTCCTCAGTCTGTTGGTTCTATTAATTGGTCGCACCACGTTCCCTTCCTCATATCACCATAACTTTCACAATAGTTGGTACGGTTTGGGAAGCGCTGAATGATAAAGTGAAAGCGCACCGTTACATTCATTGCGTGGGAGCTTTAAACATCTGATGGTAGGTGCTGCACGCTTAAGCGTTAGTAGATGGCTTCCGTGCGGCTGTTCCTCAATCTCCACCCGAGTAAGGCAAAGAAAAAGGGCATCAGCAATACAGCGGTACGTCAGGATTCGAACCCATGACCACCAGCGGCTTGAACCGCCAGTCAGCAGTTTATGCCACTGGGCCACGGGGGACAGGGTTGGCCAACCCTGTCCTCTGCAACGTTCGTAACTTGCATGGCAGTGAAGAATAAGACGCGCTATATCGCAGTTAGCTTTTAAATCATGACGGTCCGAAGCTGTCCTCCGTGGCCCAGTGGCATAAACTGCTGACTGGCGGTTCAAGCCGCTGATGATCATGGGTTCGAATCCTGGTGGATTTGATGGATGCGCACTACTGACGATGCCCAACAGGCTGAAACTGCAGTCTCGTGCTTTTTCGGGCATGTGGACGACTATCTGATTTGGAAACTGGCTGCGATGGACCTCACATAATTACATCAAAATCCCCTACTCATGAGTACTTCTAATCCTTAAGCCTACGGGCCTACACACAGCAGTTTGACCGACCCATTTGGTCATCAGCGCGCCTCTGCGGCTGCACAAGAGCATGTGCGACGAACAGCGTACACCAGAGCCTTTGTTATCCATGTGAGGGGTGTAACTCATCCAGCGTATGCGACTCGAGTGCAGCACCAAGAGTTCCACTGCTGATTTTTGACTGACTCCTCAGCACTACTACTTTAGTGATCCCGCCAGCGCTTCGTAGAGATCAGTCCTTTAAGCTGGTCAGTCTGCTAACGTCCTTAGATTTGTGCAGCATGTCTGAACGATAGGCTAGCAGTTAGCATTGTATAGATCTACACTGACCTTGCGCTGTGTGCAATAGCCTCTTCGCCATTTTGGCTGCCAGAGGTGGCAAAGCTATTTTGATAGCTAAATCTTCTCCACATTTCAAGCGGCGCCTCTGGCAAGTTGTGCAGCTTTGTTTTCCGCTCTAAAGCGCTCATTACCTGTGTCCGACTCTAAATCTGTCGACTAAAGAAGAGTCAGGTAAAACAGAACCATGCACGATCATTTCGCTAGCAAAGTTGGATGAACATAAGGAAATCGTGTCGCCACGGCTATCTCCACCCGTCGTGATATGGACATACAGTCCAACTTGCTATGACGACCACCTATGTAAGGCGACTACCTCTGTATGGCGACCAGCCAAAAACATCCCCAACATTTTATCTTGAGTACTGTCCCCATGCATGCCCTTAGTAACCATCGTAAGTTATTCCGTCTGATACGGGAAACGGGCAGCAGGAGACCTGGTGTTAGTGAAACTATACGGGACGAGAGTGGACAGCCTATCCACAACTTGTCAAAGTGCTTGAATCGTTGGGCTGAGCACTTTAAAAGGCGATTTAATCGGTCGGAATGGTTAGATTTCTCGCCTGCCACTGATCGCCCCACTCCCTGGGCTGTCCCTTTGGATCCACCCTCTCGCTCAGAAGTCGAACGTGTGATCGAACTGTTGGTTAAATAAAGCCGCGGGACCTGATGATCTTCCTGCAGCCCTCTTCATCTTCGGGAGATCTGCTCTTGTGGATGATTTATACGAGTTACTAGTCAAACTGTGGGAGCAGGAAACTGTCCCAACCGATTGGAACCGCTCCGTCATAGTCCCAATTTTCAAAGGAAGCTCACGATCGGAATGCGGCAGCCATAGAGGAATCAGTCTGATATCCATCGCCTCCAAATTGCTTGCTTCTGTCATCCTTCACAGACTGACTGGCACTCGTGAAAGCCATATTCGTGAAGAGCAAGCTGGATTTCGTCGAGGTCTTGGCTGCATTGACCACATCTTCACCTTGCATCAGTTGTTGGAGCACCGTCGCATATATTAGAGGCCCACCATTGTCGTGTTCCTCGATAGCAAAGGTTCATTCGTTTCGGTGGACAGACATGCACTTTGGGACTGTCTACTCAGGAAATGTGTGCCCGAGAAATATGTGAATATTATCCGAGCATTATATGCGCGTAGCTCGGGCAGAGTGAGGGCTTACGGCAAGTTGTCATCTCCTTTTAATATCTCCAGCGGCGTGAGACAAGGACGCCCGCTGTCACCTTTTCGCTTCAACTTCGCTGTTGACGAAGTCATGGAAATCGCGTTCACAGGACACGAGTTAGAACGTATGGATCTGCTCTCAGGAGAACGACTTCTTGACTTAGAGTATGCTGATGATATTGCTATAATCTGTGACAGCTCACAAACGTGCCAAGCGGCACTGGACAGATTAGCACTAGCTGTCCGTCACTTCGGGCTTTGCTTCGCACCTTCGAAGTGCAAAGCGTTTCTCCAAGATTGGTCTGGACCGCCTCCTACGCTGACCCTTGGTGGGGATCAGCTAGAAATCGTTCAAAAATTCAACACCGGGGAGGTTGTATCAGCGCCCGTGGGATTGAAGATGAGATCACGAACAGTATAGCAAAAGCTCGGGGCGCTTTTGCTAACCTTCGCCACTTATGGCGCCGGTGCGACATCACTCTTGCCCTTAAAGGTAGAGTGTACAATGCAACAGTACGTTCGACCCTACTGTACGGTTGTGAAACCTGGCCGCTTAAAGCAGCGGACCTCAAGAGGCTAGTTACGTTCGACCACCGGTGCCTTCGTAATTTAGCTCACACCTGGTGGGAACACCGCATGA